GAACGTGTAACGTTATACTCAATTTAAATCACTCGACGATGCTAATCTTCTTGTAACATATCAATCGCTACCTTTCTATACAATTTAATTAGCTCTAGTCATTTCACTGTACAAGTACACTTTGTAAAATTAAGGATCAGACCTCGAGATCGTAAAAGTCCAAATTTTTTTCGCGGAAGATCATGACGTAAGCGCCGTACGTTTTCAACTTGGAATAACAATTGTTTCGTCTCGCGCAACACAAGCAACACCGGAAATTTCGGTATTGACATTTAGCCGAAGCAAAAAGCGATTTCTCCTCGTACAATGGGCATCGAAGTGGTAAAATAAAACTGCTGGAGGCGGCCCTGCACGGAGGAAGCTGCACAGGATTGGAGTAAACAATGGTGACGTAACAGCGGGAAGACGTACGACCGAACGACAAGACAATGGGCTCTTGTCTCTGTTTTCTGTCCTCGCTGCTCCACCTCCGTCTCTCTTCCTCTCGTTCTTATTAAGCGGTGATTTTCTCTTCTCGTTTTACCGCACAATTTCTTCGACAGCGGCCAGACAAAAGACCCGAGAGGTTGACCCGCGAACGGGATTTTTGAGGATCGACAAAACGCTCGTTTTACTTGTCGAGGGACGTACGAGCGCAAAAAAATGAAAGAAAGTTATCTAACACGGCTATCAGGCGCTAAAAGCTCCTCGCGTGTCAAGTGGTTAACGCGCGCGAAAACCAGACGTCTGTTTGCTACTGTCTGTTACTACTTAACATTTTTCTCCTGTATCGACAGCTCTTTTCTCCATCGATTTTTATTTTCTTCTTTAATTTTACCATAAATACTTTTCTCGCTTCAACGTTTTTGCAGTTCAAAGCTTTCATGCACAATAAAATATTATATAAAAAATTGTATAAACTAGCACTTTTTAACCTTCTCTCTCTCTCTCTTTTACACATACACAATAAGAGTTGTCATATCAATATTCAATAGCTAGATAGAAGAGCTGTATTGAAAAGAAAACGTAAAAAAGAGCAGTAATAGGATATTGGTGTTAATGTTATTTTTTACGGAGAAATTATATTCCGCACGAATGGAAATTGCGCGTGTACTGCCAGCTATGGGGTGTTTTCTCAGATCAAGCTCAATCCACGCTTTCCAGGAACCAACTTTCTCGTTGCGTGGTCCGAAGGCGGATTCCCAGAGCGAGAGTAGCCCGGTCAAGCCGGTTCGCCAATTTTGGATCAAAAGACTCTATCCTGAAGTGTCGCCTTAACGGTAGACCGTAAAATTAAGGTCAATCTCCAATCGTGGGTATCGCGAAACGTTAAACGGATACTTGTAGCGAGACGTTACGGTATCACAATGGAAAGCGGCAAAAAGAAATCTCGAGAGACGTATTTGTACATCGTATAACAAGTTACACGGTTAAGCTTTTAACAGTATAATATAATTTGGCTTTAAGTTTTAAATCACAGTAACACATTGAACAAGGGTTATTTCAAATACTCGTGAAGACACTCGAAGCCGCTTTTCCATATTTGCTCGAGTAATTTCAAGGAAATAAATAAATTTGAGCTCAACAGTTTAAAATCGCTGCGTTAGTAGAAGGAGAATAAAGTCGGCTTACTCGAAACGCTCGCTACTTTCGCCGGGACGGCTCACGACTCTGCAGTTGTCGCAATAACATAATTATGCGTAATCACCAGCGAACTCGCGCGTTTATCGATGCAAATGATAGGAACGCGAGACTTGCGCGAAGCAGAGAGCACCGAGTCGAACGCGGGAGAATCAAGGATCGAACTGAGATCTCTCTCCGGTGCGGAGTTACTTGTAGAAGCGCGCGAAAACTGTTAAGCTCTATCCCCATCCATGGCGTCTCGGCGCCAAGAATAAACCCGCCGACTCCCCACCACCATGAAAATCTCCTATATTGTGCCTCTTCCCATCCCTTTCTACGCGATGCAGCTTCCACGACTTTTGTTACATCCTGATCCACGATGGATTTGGTGCAGTGGGGGGACCTGCTTACTAATAAAGCGTCATTTATTCAATTTACCGCCGGCCTCTCTGTTTGGAGAGCCCTCGATTATCCTCTCTGTATCCATATTTATCTCAAATATGCAACTGTCAAGTTAAAAGACTGTCTTTCCGCCCCTGGCGCGAATATAAAAAAAAAAACTTTCCTATCGATTTCTCCTCCACTTTCAACGGATCCATCTGTAATTTTATTTTTCCGCTGTACCACACGGTCTCCTATAAACAGGCCGACCCAAAGGATCGAACGTGCAGACTAGATCCGTACGAAATTACCCGGAAACATGGAAGATTCATTGCACTTCCGCCTCGCCTCGCGCGTCACCCGATCAAAGGAGCTCGAGCAACTTTTTCGCGCCGGTCCATATAACTCGGCGAGTCGTTAAAGCAGATCGTTCGTGCGAGCGTAGCGCCGTAGGAAACTCGTTCTCTCTGTCGCGTGGGTGCAGCGTGTGGGCATCGCGACGCTTCCGACAGGCGGGGGCCTGAACGAGCTCGCCTCGCGATCGGGGTTCGTTACACTCGTCGATTCGGGAGGAGACTCTCGTTGTTCTCGCGACTCGCGAAAATGCACGGCCGCCCGTTAAACTCCCCGCTTTCACCCGGCAGCGAGGAAAATCGCAAGCGCGCGGGCTCGCATTAAGCCATTAGGCAAAGTGGCGGCGCAAATCGAAGGCGCTCGAATGCGAATTGACGCGCCCGCCGGCGACAAATCGCTCCGATACTTGACGGCGCGAGCGGGACCGGGGCGATTTAAGTGTGATTTAGAACGTCTGAGCTCAACGCGGGGAGACAATTAAGGGGGGGGGGGGACGGCTTGGGAAACCGGCGTGCTGCCCGTCGAGATAGCTGAGAAGCACGATCGATCTCTCTTTGCAACTCGCGCGATCGCTCGTCGGCTCGGAGATGAAATCTTCACTTTGAAAGTTTCGCAGCGCGAACGCGGCGCGAACGTTCCGCCTGTGCGTGCGTTTAAATCGGTTTTTAATTCTCAATAAATATCCAAATGTATTCATCAATCTCCGAACAATCGGAACCCCGTGGGGGGAGGAACCGACGCGGTGATCCAGGCGGCGAGTTGTGCGGAAGGATCTCTCGACGATCGATCGCGTTCCGACAACGACAGGGTACACGATCTCTTTCGCCCGCCCGGGGACGCTCGGCCACCGAGAGGTGGAATTGATTTCAGTCTGGTCACACCCTTCAGTCGGCGAACAGGGGGAGGGAGGGGGTGGATATCCGACAGATGGGTCGCCGACGGTATTGCGGTTAAACTGCCGGCATTGAATCGGCTCGGACCTATCCATTGATCTATTCGTCTCTCCCTTCGGCCGCGCGCGGCAGGGTCGCGCCGCTCGCCGGCACCCTCCATTTTTCTTTCCGGTCCCGTCCGCCGTCGCTCTCCGTCCCGCAACAAACGGCGTCGATTTAGCATTGCGCGCAATTTGGGTCACAGCTTTATTGGAACCCACCGGCCGATCGCTAACGAAACGAATTGACTCCGAGAGCGTCGGTCGTGTTGCGCGTGCTTTTGGAGGAATCGTGGGCGCTGACGCAATCGGCCCCGATTAAAGCAGTATACCGAGCGGAACAAATCGTTGCATTAGATCCTAATCCCTGCTGAGCGCGGGCGAAGTCGTGTAACCGATGCGATTCTTTTATTTGATAATGAGATTTCATTAATCTCAATAAACGCGTGTCACGGTATTATTAATTTAATTATTCCAATCAAATGAAAGGCTTTAAAGGGAAATTGAACAGATTGCTACAACCCTCTCGGAATCTGAGTCGAAATGAGAAAATTAATTTAAAAAGGGTTTCCATTCTTTTTTTTGCCGCACAAAGCTTACAGCGAATACCTTTCATCTTTAATTTTTTAATCTTTCACCCTGCGTTTTCCCATGACGTTTTCAATCGGCCTGAAAGGATACACTTTATACCGCGGGTATTCATCGTGACAGCCACTTTACCTCATCTCATCAAAAAGTCAGACCGGGGCCAGCGGAGAAAAGTGAAGATGTAAATAGGCGGCGACGGGGTAGAAACGCCTGTACTCGGAAGCAACTAACGCGATGGACCTTGCCCATCCATCGGGCCCGACCTTTGATCTATTTCCAGCCGTGGAAATCGCCCTCGTCGCGATAAACCGCCATTTTCCTTCCACTTGGCAGAACATATTTCCGGCGGCGTTAGTCAGCCGTTCTTAATGCACTATACTGACTGCTGCTCTCTCGTCTAGCTCCCTCCCTCCCTCCCTCCCTCCCACCCTCCGTCGCGGTGAACACTAGCCAAGTTGTATTTCTGACTAGCTCTCTCTGTCAGATCGAGGTTAATTGGGTGCCATTACGACGAAAATTAGTGGATACCACTCGACGACGATGAGCCCCCCCCTCCCACCCCCCGTGACGACCGTGGCTCGCGGCTTTCACGGTATCGATAAATTAATCGACAGGCTCGCACCGTCAAATTCACGACACGGAAGACGGATTAGCGTTCTCACTTTCAAGAATCATGTAAAACGAGAAATGTTTAGTAAGAATTATCTCTTCCCATTGCAACACAGCGTGTCGTACGCTTAAGCATCCGTCGGGTATTTTATGCGAGCGATTTAGAAACAAAAGGGCGATAACTGACGTTAATAAACGTTAGCGGTGTTACACTCGCGAGTCTCGTTTATCACATTGTATCGTCCATTGCCAAATATTTGTGAATTTTATTGGTACAATGGGGAAAATCCAGGAAGCGGATTTCGCGTCAAAATTCTCGTCCGGATTCACGTGCAAGTTTGACAGGTGGACACAAAATCAATAACTCATTATGAGATAATTCATTCCACCTCGCTTATCTGACAATTGCTCGAATGAAAACAAGCTGATCAACACTTGATTGTAACACGATAAATTATAAATGAGAGAAATTATGTTAGCGTGCACTGCAAAAATTGAGCTATGAAGTTAAGAGCATGCGGAAATTCGCACTCACCGTCGTCGCTGATTTCGAGATTCGTGTAGCTGTCCCAGTGCAGAATCGGATCGTGATGCGCCGATGCGTGCGGCACGGCGGGCGTCGGCGCCGGGACTGGGCCGTCCTGACGTTTCGCGTCGGTGGCGAAGTAGAGTGTCACCACGCTGTCGGGCGGGCACCGAGGATCGTCGCAGGCGACGTCGAGCTCCGATCGCGGGAAGGAGACGACGTTCTCCGTAATCACGCACGTGTGGAACTTAGGGAACAATGGGTCGATGTGAGAACGCGCGTAATCACCGATCGGCGCGGACGATTAATCTCGCTTAAAGTCGTCTAGCCACTAGTGAGTATTCTCACGTTTGCGAAGTTCCCCGAAGAACTTGCACGTGATTTGCTCGAGGATTTGATCAAGCTCTGAGCATGAGCGTAATTTAAATGGACCCACCATGAAGCCAGCAGAATTGAGAGAGACAGAGAACAAAGGGTGCTCTCACGTTGCTGCGTTCAAGCACATTGTTCTTCGGCGCGTCTTTGACACGTGTCGTTGTCAAGGACACAACTCTGGCCACAACGTGGCAATTATGAGGTTGGGGAAAAACTGTCGAAACTGTCAAAACTGTCCATGTGCCAAAGTTGCGTCGAAGAACATTACGCTTGAAACATAGCGACATGAGAGCACTTTGTTCTCTGTCTCTCCTAGGCCTGGTTTTTCATTTTGTGGTTAATTGTTAATCAGAAGTTAGCCCGTTCTCCATCCTTTTCTACTCGAGAAGAGATGGAAAGTCGACTAACTTCTGGTTAACAATTAACCAGAAAATAACCGGGCTTCGTTGTCAGTTCTGCTGGCTTCGTTGATTCACAGAGCACGGTGGGTTTATTTAAACTACGTCCATAGCTCCAAGAAAGGTAGTTAGATCTTATATTTGAGGTCCGTCTTAAGATCATCTTCGGCTATTCCGTAGCCAATGAAATATTCCGTACATCTTTAGATAAATTCAAGACGGTCTTAAATGTAAGATCTGGCCATGAATACCGGATACTCTGAGAGCGGATCTCTCTCGAAACAACGACGTAATTTCCGATACGTGTAACATATAAATCACAGACGTAAAATACGACCGAGCGATCAATTAGATTAAAGAGATTGCAAGTATGCAAATTTCAATGCTACTGTCGGTTCGCGTGAAAAGGAAAAACGCATACGTTATAACGTCAATTTAAACAAGCGCGATTTTCTTCTGCATAAATCATCCTAACAAAATAATATACAACTTGATGCAAAACGTATCGCGATCGATGTATTTTTCCACGGAATTCTTATACATCGGTTCTTTCCGGGTTTAAGAAGCGTATCTAATTATTAACCGATTGTTACGTCGTTTTCAAAGGATGTTATTTGCCCAACGGCAAATAAAACTGAAGCACCTATGCTGACCTTTTTTTTCCCCCGAACACGTAGATCTACTCCGCCGTCCTTGTAGCCACTTACGAATAGCTTTGCATAAACTATCATTTGTGCCTCTGATTTCACGCCGTGTCACTTACATGTTACAACACATTCATCATGGATGCATCATGCACGGTATTTTTGTACGCGACGGATATAAATGACGTAAATGGATACTGGATCGATATTATTCAATACATTCCAATCTTGTACGATTATATAAAAATATGCGAAATGAAATACTACGAAATCACGTTGCTGATAAAGCTAGTAATGAGTAATAAAAATAATGCAATGTCAATTTCCATTAACATAATAAAAATACGATATTACGTGTTTGAAATAAACGTCAATTTTGCACATTGCCGTCTTACCTGGAGGGAAAACATAACTTCTCGAGTCTGCTTCGAGTACACCCTGTGGTAGCACTTGACCAAGATGTCACCCCTCAGCCGGAGCCCGCCGAGATTAACAGTAAATTCGCGCGCATTCGTCACCGAATACAGATCCGAAGTATAAACCGGTGTAAGACCCTCGTATACTTTAAGAAAGGCTCGACAGCCCGTCGGCTCGAAGAGCGGCACTCCGAGGACCGTCAGGTGGGTCAGGTACAATGGCGACTGGCTGATCCTCAGAGAGCCCGACAGCAGTCCGCTGAAGTACTCGATGTACCTGGAAAATCCAGGAGACCGTTATTGTACTGGACATCCAGTAATAAGTACGCCGTTGCGCATTTTCAGCTCTTAAAACTCATTCCCCGACCCTCGACGGGAGGGTTTAAAGGATTAGAGATGAATATCTGAAGTAATGAACGATAAATCAATGAGGTCTACCGAGAGAGATGTGAGAGATGCGTTCTTCCTGGTACGACCAACATTGCCAGGCGAAAAAGAATGAAGAGGCAAATTTCTCTTAAGCCGCAAACGCGCGCATGCATGAGAAACATGATGAATGGGATTGATGGTTCAACCAATGGAAAGCCTTGACTCGTGACACGAAGAGGTGTGCATGTCGGACGAGCATGCAGATAGGAGTACGTGCCACTAACGTTCGACATCATTCGTCGTAAGAGATCTCTCAGAGGCAGGCTAGTAATGGTTTCATACGCTCGCGAGAGCGCGGCTACGCTAACGACATGCTAATGCTCGCGGCTCGCGGAATTAATGGAGGAACTCCGGTAGGCAGGACCGGAGGAGCGTGAGGACCACGAAGAGGAGGCGATATGACAAGCAAGAAGAAGAAGAAGAAGACGAAAAAGAAGAAGAAGAGCAAGGAAGTCGCCACGCACGCGGGCACACCTCGGTCGCGGCTCATTACGATCATTATGAATGCGTACGGCGACGCGGATGACAAGGACGATGATAAGGACGACGATGACGGTAATGATACGGCGGCCGTGATTGCGGCGGGGTCGATGGCGCGTAATACGCGCGATAAACTGCCGGATGGGTTGCGTTTGTTTCGTTAAAAGTAACCGGTTGATCGAACTGCGAGCATAAATCACCGGAGGAACGGAAACATGCGTGAAAGAACCGTAGAGACTGTGATTAGATCGTCGAGGTCGAGAAATGAGAATGAGTTTAGCGTATATTATTTTTACGTAACTGATCGAATAATTTTAATTTATATAGTCCAGCCGGGAAATATTTTCGTGGTAAAGATCGAATAAATAACTCGGATACTTTAGTGTTGTTGGATGCATAAACGCTGTAAGAACAGATATTCTTCTCTATTTCAACAATTGGCACGGCAACTAATTTTTATAAATTCGACATCATTATTTGTACGAGTAACCATTCTTATTTAGATAATTGATTCTAGAAGCAGTTACTGGTCGTTCGCGATAAATGATAATTTAACCTCATCATGTGCTATAAATAATTATTCATATAACCATATGTATTTTTGAGTTATACGGTAAATGAGATTATCTTTATGAGCTTATCGACGCATTTCTTATGTAAGCGGAAAAAAAGCTTCTTTTTCCTGAATCAGATTGCAATTTAAGTTGGAAAATATCGCGATAGCCACAAGTGCGAACGAGATTAAAAGAGACAGCCGCATGCAGGCCCGACCGCGTTTCATTACCGGTCATTATGAATGCATACGACGACACGGCGATGAAGTAAAACGATAAGACTGCCGATGATGATGATGATGATGAGAGCTCGCTATCTTTAGATCAATGGTCCGTGGTGCGCGCGATAGAACCGGCTGACAGAAACATCTTTTCAACAACAGGAACGTTAAGTGCGCAACACGGCCGGTCATTTTATTTTGTTAATGCCATCTCGCCTCGCGATCTTCCCTCGCCGGTAAATGTTGTAATCATGGTGTGAACGAAGCAATTATGGGGTTGCAATTTTAAAAGTCGCCGATGTTATTCCGAAGTTCTGAGGAATCCCGAACGAATTTCCGGAATCCATTTATGGAGGAATGATCGGATAGGTATCAACATGATTAATGGCGGCGGAGGAGCGCGAAGGATGGCAGAAAACGAGCAAGGATGATTGAGAATGATGACGACTAGATAATGAGGACTCGACATTTCAGGTCGATGGCGAGTATACAACGGATAACAAATAGGATGGCTACTCAAGGACGTAAGGTGTCCTTCTTAATAGGATCGCCGCAGTGAACGCGGACGAGTTATACGCTCCTTCTTCCTGTGCCATGTAAATTCGCACAACTTGCACGGCTTCCGCGATAAACGTCAAAGGATACGTGGAGACGAGTGCCTGCGCATGTAAATTTATAATAGTTAAACGCGCGTCTCTCGCATCCGTTTTAACTCAGGATTAATAAGTACCTTTCGGCTCTCAGAAAGAAACGGACAGATGCCAGAAAAGCCAAAGAATTTACGTCGGTGAATCGTCGCAAATTTTAAATCTCGCGCGCGCGCGCGAAATATTAGAAAAAAGCGCTTTCCAATATTCACGTTCTAAAATTAAGCAAACAGCGGTGAAATAAGACAAGACAGTGGTGAAATGCCCAGATGCAATGAGTCTATTAAATATGAAATATCATAAAACGGATTTATGAAGTGAGATTTTCCGACACGACCAATTGCTTGTCATTAAAAGTGTCAACGGGGATTAAAATAAATTGCGAGAACCAGATGATGTTGAACAAGTAGCGATTAAGACGGGAATTAAGAAATAATAAACCTGCGAGCTTTTTGCGATATATGCACGCGCTCGTAAATGATTTTACGATGCTGTCAGAATTATTTGCGAGTGCAAATACGAGAATGAGTTTTAACGTCGCACGTCAACAGGTAGCGTAAGTGCGACTTTCTCTCCCTCTTTCTCTCGCGTTACCTTCGATGCGATGGAACCTGCAGCGATCCGATCTTGTCGTCGAGGAACCTTCTCATGGCGAACCTGTCCAACGCTTGATCGCGTCCCCCGCAGATGCTGCTGTAGTTCATATAAGCGGACACTGCCACACCCAGCCGCTCCTTGCTGCCCCTGAAGAGAACGATAACGTTAACTTGGTGCCGCGAACGTACAATGTCGGTTCCGTACCTTCTCCGCAAGAGGTGGAAAGATACGAAAAGATTTCCGCCGCGGGCTGATCGCGGTCTAATGACGTTATTATTCACGATGAATGGAAATGACTAACGGGAAGTTATGGGCGCGGAGTTTCGCGAGGGGGCGGTGAACGTGTACCGCGGCAAAATTATGGCTTTTGCGGCCGATCGCTTCAACATTGGCCGTTCTGCAAAAACCAGGTCACGAATGCGTACAAATGCGTGCACAGAGAGTTTTGCGCTTACGACTGGTTTCTTTTAAGAACAATTTCTATCCACCTCGAAGGACTCATCTTTAGGATTAGTTTTCTTCGTGATGGACGGACATTGAGTCGCTCGTAATTTAAATTATAAACTTGGCTGTTTGTTTTTTTTCTTGTTAAAGTGTATTACAAGGAAGCAAAAGATAAATATTTTAATATCGCAAAACTCTACCTGGCGTGTAGAACAACGACGCGATTAGAAGCGCCGTTTAGCCAGGAGTCCAGCTCCTTGCAGAGAGCACACAGTCTCTCCAAACTTGGCGCTAATCCCTGCGGCCATCCAACTTCCCTCGTATTCGGCTCGCCGGGTCGGCCGGGCGATGACAAATTAAAGATCTGAAAGTCCAAGACATCCGAAACTAAGAAAATTACAAAAACAAACGTACGGCAGACATACAATAAGATTTTGTGATTTTACTCTTTTAAATTGTAAAATATTGTTATATTCGCACAAGAGAGATCTCGTGTATGAATTGTAGTATTTGTAATCGGAAAATTAATAATACTGGTTAAGGTTGCGAGAAATGCATAACACTTTCTGTCTTTTTGCCTCGAGAGGAAGAATCGCGAAAAGGTGTGAGAGTTATTCGAATTCTCACCATGTAATTATCGGCATGTTTCCCGCGCAGGAGGGTCGTAGCATGTTCGAGGACACCCTGCGCATCCTCTCTATACCAAAGGGCGATGATCCTCTCCGTGACGTAACAGAGCTCCATCACCTCCGTCACGCGACCTCCGCCCTTTCCCGGTCCCGTCATCGTTGAATCCGCGCCGACACCCGGTGTCCTCGCAGGTGTTGACACCACTGCTGATGTCTGCACCTATAATTCGATGATTTATTCAAATATTAAATTTTATTAGATTTATAAAAAGACACATATTATATACAACTCTGGTGGCGAAATTATTTGAATGATAATTTAAAACTGTGGTAAATATGTAAATTACGGTATCAGACAGACATTATTAAAAAATACTGTTTAAAAATACAAATATCAAAAGTCATCTGGTAAAATAATTATAAAAAAATGTTTTTGCTATCAGTGGAATGTATAATGTAAATGAAAATTCTGAGACGAAATTCATCATTCGCGTAAAATTTTCTAAATTTGTTTCAAAGAGGATTCTTTTCTGAGCGACTTCATTTCATTAGAGCTTTATCCAAGAACTGGAAAATTTGTCTTTGATTGCCGCAAAACTTAGTTTCCCCGTAAAACAATGTAATATCAGACAATCAAATTTTCTCCGTGGAGATAGACTTTATTTCTTTAGTCTTCGCCTACAAATTCATTTTGTCTTTCATTATTTTCCCTTTGACGGTTAAATAAGTTTCGATAGACATGTAATTTGAAAAAGTAAAATACATAATAATAAACTTTTGTATACTAATTGTATACTAAGCTTGCACATACTTTTATGCGCCATTCGTCATGCGATACACATCGCGTACGAGTAAAGTCCCGAGCACAAGAAAAATCCTCGCGGCATTGTGGGAGCAATGAAGATCGACGATCTTCGAACAAGGAACTTCGAAGTGCCAGGGCGTCTTTTCATTACGACGGAGATTCGCGATCGATAGATCGTCCCGGTGGGCGGTCCGTGGCATCATTTTTTACAATATTTGGCCGGTGGGGTTAACCCGTAAACGATACACGAACGAAAAAGATACGACGTTTTAACACGAGCGCATTTCATTATCTTCAACAAACGCGCGCGTGCGCTTTAGGTAACGTGTATACAAACCGCACGGCGGTATTGTTTTTATACGATAAAGATTGTCATCTTTGTGTGGCGACCGTGGCACAGACAGCTAAGTGCTGCTCTAATCAACTCTAGTGTGCCGAGTTCAAATCCGACTGGACATCGTCGGTTTTTATTCGATCGTCACCTCTCGGCAGGACGAAACAAGTCACCGAGAGTATATATTTCCTCTCGCCAGAGCCGTTCGGAACCGGCATAAAATTGTAGGTCCCATATATCTGATTCAGATATATACGAATGATCGGAATGCTCGAAATCGAGTCAATACGACTAATTATTATTCTGTATATACATACAAGATACAGAAAATTAAACTGAGGAAAAGTTATGAATCATAATATGATGCAGAAAAATTACTACTGATTTCTATGATATAATACTAATTGAGAATAGTCTGATATGATTATAAAATTCATTGTTAAGATCCCTCAGCTATCTTTTTTTACTGACACAGTTCAAATGTAGTTTTTGCGATAATAAATTCTTTTTATTGGTGTTTATGCAAAATAATACCAGCATAAGTTGCGCGGAACGTATAGCAGAACATTTTCATTTCAGTCAATTTCTTAAAGCTTAGGGTTTAAATCTCTGTTGTACACTGGGACTAAACAATTCTTAAATCACCCACGTCGCAATTATCGAATGTATTTGCACTTCACCAATCTTAATATCAGATGCGCGAATAATTGATAACTTGGCGGGGAAATATCGGTAAATCCACCATCGAATCACAACGTTCTATCCACCTTGGAGAACTTCGGCGCGTAGACGATCCTGATAACGATATTCTCCGGCATGGCGATGTCCTTACGGAGGGACAATCTATCGCGGGGTAGATCGACATGTAATCCCGGCGCCTTAACGGGAACGCCGCGTTTATCCCGCCGCAAGAGACGAGGACGCCGGAGATCGAGCTGATGCGCTGTGTTCCTCGCCGCGGAACGATACACTGCCGGGTATTGTGTTTCGCCTGGTTCTACTGAAGATACGCAAGAATATCCAGTGGCCAGTCGGCGGTTTTGTCAGATAATCGCGCCTCCTTCTGTCATGCCTATGTCTATGACGTGTGCTAGCTCGCGTGTCTCCAGGGCCGGCTCGCCGTAGTCATCGTCATTCCGCGATGTTTATTTGCGTGTCGTGATTGAAGGCGCGCGACATTAAACAGATTTTCGTCATCGCTGTGCTTAAGCGACTGCAACAGCTGAAAATCAGCTTTTTCGGTTTACGAGAATTGGTTGTGTCGCGACAACGACCTTTGACTTCGAAAATTTTGCAGGGAGAAGCAACCCTTTAAGAAAAATTTACGACGCCATTTCAAAGCTATTTCACTCTTCTACTGCGATAAATTATAAATATAATTTTATTAGTTCTGCATTACGTTAATGTATAAAAATATTCCGACTCGGGTAACTTTTGACGGGTGACGACAGGACTCTCTTTCTAACTAAACTTCTTCTTTGTTTCTTCAGTGAGTGCTTTAAAATTTTCTCCAAATCATTCGGAAGTAAGAAGAACCAGATAGCTAGATTTTGCGACGCACTTGTCGATTTTATGTTAACGCAAACACTGCGTTTTTACTTCGAACCCGTTGAAGCGGCCCTGAACGTGGATGGGAGGACTCGCTCGCGCGCGGACGTGTGATGTAACGAATTCTGCAGGTAGCGTGACTTCGATTCCCACCAAATAGTCACGCTATTCGCATTACCAGTCGAGCCGCGGTCGGTGCTAGATCGCGACTTAATACGGCGCGCGTCGCGGAAGGTTGCGCGGATCATTTGTCGCGGGGAACGTGCGAAAATTACACGGAGGAGTTGGCGCGCAAACGAGCCGGATGTAAGCTGCGTTTTTGCACGGTTGCTGCGGTTTCTTCCTCGCTGGACAGCATCCGAGCGGCGAGTACTTGGTCGGTTTAGCCGGAGAGTCGTTTATAGGTCCCTCAACAGTCCGGGTACCATCGCCGCGGAGATACTCCGTTATTGATGGAGCTTGTTAAAATTATTCGCGTGATTTATACCGGATTATAGCAGTCACACCACAATAGTCATATCGCACGGTCAATCGTTTGCGTTTATCTGCCTTTAAGGGAATCCTAAAGCCGTCTGTTTTATCGATTTTTTGTTTTCCTTTTAGAAGTAATCTCTTTAGAAGTTTTCTTGCTAGAAGTAATCTTTTAATTGACTTTATAGAAATGCAAAAGTGAAAATGTTGATAATTGACATCTTTAATTCCGTCTCCTATCTTATCGACACTGATTGAGTTCGCCAGCGGCTTTAGGGTCCCCTTAAGCACTCATTGCTCGTGTATCGTCGTGGAGTTTTATCGGGATAATAATTCTCCGCTCAACAGACGTAACGTATTCCGCATGTTTGACAAGTTGGCCTTTCCGTATTAATGCGCGCATAATTTCCAACTGTATTCAACAATCCTCGGGCCGGTCCTCTTAAGCGGGCAAAGCCTTTGTATATCGGACTATAGTATTATAACTAATTACGACGGTAGGACCGAAATGCCCGTGGCGTACATGCATATGTCATGCTGTGCACTTGCATGCGTAATTATGTAATCCCATCTAATCCTATAATCTGAGTCCACAAATAATCCCGCGCAATACTGAAATAGGTGGTATGATAAAGGGACGTGCAGTTTCTATACGCGCGTCACGTTTTTGGATAAGGTGCGCGAGCGATTTATATCCGAAACAAACAAGTTGCGAGGTGAAAGGAACAAGGTGAGGAACGAGTTCGCCGGGCTCGCGTCTGAGTTTCAGAAATATAAAGGGCCGCGCTAACAATGAGCGGGCGTCGCGGAAAAGAAAGCAGAACGAACCGGGCGAGAGAATGAGAGCCGAGGCGGCCAAGCTCTCTCTAAAAATACATGGGTTTTATGGGATCGTAACACCGCGAGTTCGTTTCGCGCGGGGCGCGCAGCCCAGGCCTACCCACCCGCTCATAAATCCCTTTGACCATTAGGCTCACGTGTGAAATTGCTATTACGTCGCGGTCCTACCGCAGCTGTCGTTACGCGGAAACCGCCCGACGCGACGTGTACCCCGGAGTCTACGGGCGTTTCATACCCGATCGTCGGATCGAGCGACGCCCCCGTCATCCCCGGCTGGCTGCAAGTCGCGAAACGAAGGGTATTACCTGCCGCCTGTTGTCGGCGAGAGCGAGTCGTAACGTCGCTGGCTTCAAATTAAAGTTTCATAATGGGTAAATTATTAAAATTGAGAAACTCGGCACTATTGTGATATTCAACAGAGGTGGAGTAGAGCGGGATGGATCATTACGAGAATGGGAGAGCTTGTTTTTATAAATTACAAAAATCTTATTACATACATCAGAAACGATCGTTTGCATAGAAATACTGAAAAATGAAAATATTTCTCTCAAATTTCATTCATCTCTAATATTTTGTTTCAGTGTTCGCATAAAGAATCTCTAAATATTTCATTTCGTTGCAGGATCAAACCGGAGGACTTTTAACGAAAAATATATGGAAAGTCGAAAACTGAAGAATCAAAAACTCAAGAGCGAGATTCCATGAGGATATGAAGTTCCGCGGAGGTATAGAGTTCTATCGGAGCTACCGACGTTAATTCTATGCGGTTATGGAAGGAAGAAGCACGCAACGAGCCTCGCCACTAATGTCAATTACCGTTAATCTACTTAATTGCTCGCGGTTAATTTCTAATTGAAAGTATAACGTTCAAACGAATAGGCTTAATCTTCATCAATTATATGTAAAGCCCGATAATGGCGACACGGCCATCGCATTGTACTTTCTGTCCTCGTTATTTTACTTCATTTTCGCATTTATTTAACAGAAGCCGTTCCTGCGTCACAGCACTGCGAATTGTCGTCGGAATTGATTGACAATCAAAGAGAGAATGAATTTGAAGCAAAACAATTTCACAAAAATCTGATAATTTAAATCGTATGTTGCTGAATATTAAACGGTATATATTTATTATTGACGAATGCTACTATGCGCTGTTTTTAGACGCGAATCTTTTGCAGAACAGGCAAAAGTACGACGCAACACACGAACAAAATTGACCGGCGAAAAATCCACAATGTTGCGAGAAATAAGAACGAACGCGATAACAGCTGCGCAACAGTTTTTACCGTACGCTAATTGGTATTCCGCATAATTATCACTGCTTCCAACGCGCCTCACCTTCGCTATTCCTCACGTAACTCTATGACCACGAGGTAATCGCGTACGACAGTTTCCGGAACGAATCCACGCGATTAATTAAGATTATTAAGAAACCTGTGATATTAACCTTGACGGCTATTTCTCAAACGAATATTTAGAAAATATGCAATTACATGGGAAACATTCGGTGCGCATACGGTAATTAATAAAAATCTATCTCGTATTGATACTCTTTCGTAAAAATAAAGCAACGTTTTACTTTTATGTATATTTTACAGCTTGTAATCACGGCGTGCACGAGAGGTTTCAATAAAAGTCTATAACTTTCTACATATTACGCGCGAAAATAGCCACGACCGATCGCTGTCGTCGCTGTTTCTGCATATATTTCCGCGGTAATAGCGGTGGTCCGTACACGAATAAATGTGGGGTTTCGCGAATATATTATCCATCCGACGTCAACACGCACGGGTTATCGCGACGGTACATCGTGGCCGATACCGACCAGTCGTATAATGCGTCGCCTTATTGCCATTTTAGCGCATAATTTTCAATGACACCGTCATTTATGCGCAGGAAATGCCGCCCGACCGCGCAACGAAGAATATCTAAAACGCTCGCGTCGTTCCTTTTATTCATCCCGAATTCTAAATTGATCGAATCGCACCGGCTGGAAATTAAATGAGAAATTATGTCGCTACCACTTTCCTGATTTCTAAGGAAATCTCGATTGGCAGATAAATGTCACGCGGATTGATTTGCAGACTCGATTTGCGAACAGTGAGTAAACATGGAAAATACCGGCCGGCTGCGAGAGCGAGGGAGAGTAATTAGCGTACTGATTACTGATCGGATATTAGTATTCCCTTTCCGCTGCGCGCTAATAGAAAGTTATTCTGCTGACGTTGTAAGTGGTGGTTTGTGTAACGCGTGCCTCATTTTGATCCGTGCAATTATGACTATCGTGGATTTTAGCCGAGCCGCGGTTTAATGCGATTTCCCAGATTAAATTGCCAGCAATTAAATTTCGCATCGCTTGATTTTTTTACGGAATTCCACGTTTCGCATATGCGAGAGCCGAAAGTGCGGTCGACTAGACGAGCTTTCCATCGCTGGCGCACAGCGATAATTCTATTTTAACGTCGCGACACGAGTAACGAGCTGCCGACACATACAACTTCTGGTGTGTAAAAAAAAGGGGGATAGTTTAAAGCGATTCATTTCCATTTGAATGCGGCGAGAGCATTCTTCTGAGTTCAGCGTTTCGGAAAGGTCATACACGTGTCCTCCGGTCTTAGCATTTTGAAAGCGAGTGCTCGACGGGCCGGACGAACGACGACAGGTCGTCGGGAATGATTTCGTGCAATTTGTATAGCGAATATGTTATCTGACAGGACAAGAAGTCTCGAAGAGAAGGCAAAAGTCGTGCATTTCGAATGCAAATGCAGCTCTGCCTCTGCACCCTCTTACGGAATAAATGAAGGCACTCACGTTTGACATGTAGAAAACCAGTCGCTCGATATCGTGCATCGCCATTTGTATCGTTATTAAATATTTAAAGAGACGAGTTAGCGGTGAATCGCGAGCTTTCATTGATGACGGTAAGCCTCGCGGATAAGATAGAGATCCTTTGGTCTAACTTGCCAAGAAATCTCTGTTGAGCGTCTATTTTCTAGTTTCATTACATCTGCCCTTATAATAATATATTATATAATACAACGTATATGTAATATAGTTTCAATGAATGTAATTTCTGGTATTGCCGTAATTGAGTAACTGGTCTGATATAAAATAATTTATGACGGGATAAAATACAATATAACAATTGTAAGTCTTATAAATGCAATAAATAATTGTCAGAAACGAATACAAGTACTGTACTTACTTGGTGCTTATTTCTCGCGATGTTGTTAACGTTTTTCGGTTGTGATTCGTAGCCGCCATTGTGCTGTAATCAAAAATAAAAGGTGCTTAATTAATACACGTTGAATAATGTATAGGAATATGTAACGCGCTATAACTTCGTATAGTTGAGAATAAAAGTAACAAAAACGTCATTAATAATCCACTTTCGCAACGCTTGATAAAAAAATTTCATTCGATACAAAAATGCCGCGCCAGCATTATTTCTGTGGTCGAGGAAACGGATAGTAGCTTCGTCTTATTAACTTTCTATTCGGTGCGTAGAAAATACTATTACTCTCTTCATGGGCGTTGTCCCAAGAGAAGTAGGTGACATTATTGTCCATTGTTTCGAAATTAATGATATACGGTAAGTCGTTCCCATTGTCGGTTCCATTATTGCAAGAAAAATTATGCAACGACAGGTGCCGCAGTAGCGTATTGTGTTCGATATTCCTAAAAAAACGGTTGCATAGTCGGCATCGATTGGAACCTGCCAAAATCTATTAAATATCGTTACATCGAATGGTGTTGAGCTACGGATATGCACATGCCACACTGCGCTTATATAAGAGAAATGAACGGAGCTTGACACAAAGCGTTTTCAATCATGACTTTCTAATGTCATAAGAAAAGAAAAACTACAATTGAAAGCTTGAACGGCAAGAAGCAAAAGACTACATACGGCTGTTGGCAGCGCCGCTAAAGAAGCTTTTCGTATTCATAAAGGATTAATATTTACATGATAACGCTACGGGGATGTCTATTAATATTTTTGGACACAGCACAATATTCACGTTCCGTCAAAGTTTTACTAGCAAGTCGAAATCAGCCCCGAAGGATCCGCAGACGGTTACGTCATGCTA